GCCACCAGCTCGAACGGGGACAGGTCCACCTGCTGTGGGGACACACCTGGCTCACACCTGAGTGACCTAGGACACACCTGGGTCACCTAGGACACACCTATGCCACACCTGAGTGATCTACAGTGCACCTGTGTCACACCTGTGTCACCTGGGACACACCTGAACGACACCAGAGTCACCTGAGACACAGCTGTGTCACCTAGGATACACCTATGCCACACCTGAGCAATCTACAGTACACCTGTGTCACCTGGGACACACCTGTGTGACCCCCCCAGGGACAGGTGAGACTCCAGAGCCACCAGCTCGAATGGGGACAGGTGCACCTGCTGTGGGGACACACCTGGCTCACACCTGAGTGACCTAGGACACACCTGGGTCACCTGGGATACACCTGAGTAACACCTGAGTGATCTACAGTACACCTGTGTCACCTGGGACACACCTGAGTGACACCTCGGACACACCTGTGTCACCTAGGATACACCTGGCTAACACCTAAGTGACACCTGAGTCACCTGGGACACACCTGTGTCACCTAAGATACACCTATGCCACACCTGAGTGATCTACAGTGCACCTGTGTCACCTGGGACACACCTGAGTGACACCTGGGTCACACCTGTGTGACCCCCCCGGGGACAGGTGAGACTTCAGCATCACCAGCTCGAACGGGGACAGGTGCACCTGCTGTGGGGACACACCTGGCTCACACCTGGGACACACCTGAGTGACACCTGGGAGGCAACTGAGTGACACCTGTGTCATGCCCCACCCCTCCCCAGGTGTCTCTCACCTGTCCCAGGTGTATCCCATCTCTCCCCAGGTGTGTCCCACCCATCCCCAGGTGCCTCTCACCTGTCCCAGGTGTGTGCCAACCCCCCTCACCTGTCCCAGGTGCATCCCACCCATCCCCACCTGTCCCAGGTGTGTCTCACCTGTATCCCATCCATCCCCAGGTGTGTCTCTCACCTGTCCCAGGTGTGTCCCAACCCCCCTCACCTGTCCCACCCATCCCCACCTGTCCCAGGTGTGTCTCACCTGGAAGGGGTGGGGCTCCAGCGCCCTCAGCACCAGCGCAGGTGTGCCCAGGCTGAGGCCAGGTGTGACTCCCCCATCCCCACCTGTCCCAGCGGTCTCTCACCTGTCTCAGGTGTATCCCACCCATCCCCAGGTGTGTTCCAGGTGTGTCTCACCTGCTTCAAGTGTATCCCACCCATCCCCAAGTGTGCTCCAGGTGTATCTCACCTGCCTCAGGTGTATCCCAGGTGTGCCTCACCTATCCCCAGCAGTCTCTCACCTGTCCCACGTGTGTTCCAGGTGTGTCCCAAACCTCCCCAGGCGTCTCTCACCTGTCTAAGATGTATCCCAGGTGTGTCCCACCCATCCCCAGCAGTCTCTCACCTGTCCCAGGTGTATCCCAGGTGTGTCCCACCCATCCTCAGGTGCCTCTCACCTGTCCCAGGTGTGTCCCCAGCCATTACCAGGTGTCTCTCACCTGTCTCAGGTATGTCCCAAACCTCTCCAGGTGTGTCCCACCCATCCCCAGGCGTGTCTCACCTGCCCCAGGTGTGTCTTACCTGTCCCAGGTATATCCCCCCTAATCCCCAGGTGTGTCCCAAACCTCCCCAGGTGTCTCTCACCTGCCTCAGGTGTATCCCAGGTGTGTCCCACCCTCCCCAGGCGCCTCTCACCTGACCCAGGTGTGTCTCAAACCTCCCCAGGTGTGTCCCAGCTGTGTCTCACCTGTCCCAGGTGTGTCTCACCTGTATCCCATCCATCCCCAGGTGTGTCCCAACCCCCCTCACCTGTCCCAGGTGTGTCCCACCCATCCGCACCTGTCCCAGCGGTCTCTCACCTGTCTCAGGTGTATCCCACCCATCCCCAGGTGTGTTCCAGGTGTATCTCACCTGCCTCAGGTGTGTCCCAGGTGTGTCCCACCCATCCCCAGGTGCCTCTCACCTGTCCCAGGTGCGTCCCACCCATTTCCAGGTGTCTCTCACCTGTCTCAGGTGTGTCCCAAACCTCTCCAGGTACGTCCCACCCATCCCCAGGTGTGTCTCACCTGTCTCAGGTGTGTCCCACCCATCCCCAGGTGTGTTCCAGGTGTGTCTCACCTGCCTCAGGTGTGTCCCAGGTGTGTCCCACCCATCCTCAGCTGTCTCTCACCTGTCCCAGGTGTGTCCCAAACCTCCCCAGGTGTGTCCCAGGTGTGTCTCACCTGTCCCAGGTGTGTCCCAGGTGTGTACCACCAATCCCCAGGTGTGTCCCAGGTGTATCCCATCCATCCCCAGGTGTGTCCCAACCCCCCCTCACCTGTCCCACCCATGCCCACCTGTCCCAGGTGTGTCTCACCTGGAAGGGGTGTGGCTCCAGCACCCTCAGCACCAGCGCAGGTGTGCCCAGGCTGAGGCCAGGTGTGTCCCTCCCATCCCCAGGTGTGTCCCAAACCATCCCCAGGTGCGTCCCAGGTGCGTCCCACCTGTCTCAGGTGTATCCCATCTCTCCCCAGGTGTGTCCCAGATGAGTCCCACCCATCCCCACCTGTCCCAAGTGTATCTCACCTGTCTCAGGTGTGTCCCCCTCTCCCCAGGTGTGTGCCAGGTGTGTCTCACCTACCTCAGGTGTATCCCAGGTGTGTCCCACCCATCCCCAGGTGTGTCTCACCTGTCTCAGGTGTGTCCCACCCATCCCCAGGTGTATCCCAGGTGTCTCTCACCTGCCTCAGGTGTGTCCCAGGTGTGTCCCACCCATCCCCAGCTGTCTCTCACCTGTCCCAGGTGTGTCCCAAACCTCCCCAGGTGTGTCCCAGGTGTGTCCCACCCATCCCCACCTGTCCCAGCTGTCTCTCACCTGTCCCAGGTGTGTCCCAAACCTCCCCAGGTGTGTCCCAGGTGTGTCTCACCTGTCCCAGGTGTATCCCACCTCTATCCCATCCATCCCCAGGTGTGTCCCAACCCCCCCTCACCTGTCCCAGGTGCGTCCCACCCATGCCCACCTGTCCCAGGTGTGTCTCACCTGGAAGGGGTGCGGCTCCAGCGCCCTCAGCACCAGCGCAGGTGTGCCCAGGCTGAGGCCAGGTGTGACGAGCGGTGACGTCACGGGGCGTGGCTCGAACAGGTCGGGGTGGTTGCACACCTTGCGCAGCTGCATCAGCACATTGATGACGCTCATGAAGTGACCGCTGGCCAAGGTGGCCTTGGTGCTGAAAATGGGAGGGGAAAATTTACCTGGGGAACACCTGAGACTCACCTGGGACTCACCTGAGCTCACCTGAGAAATTTGGGAAAAAATCCGGAAAAAATTGGAGGGAAAAATTTGGGATTTT